CTGGTGGCGTATCTAAGGATAGGGTTGTCTTCTAAAACTGTGGTATAAATTTGCTCAGTGAATCTGAGGAACAAGAGCAGGAATAATAAAACAAAGAGAAATTATAGCATTTCAGAATATTTTAGAACTATGAGGCTCATTCATGTCTAATTTTGGAGGTTTTTAGCATAATGCTTAATGAGTTAAAACATTTCAATTCCTTTTTAAAAATATCATCAAGTGCTTATTTGGAAACAACCATTTACAAAACCCTTAGAGATATAGAAACTTAGTTTCTTAGTTGGCAATAAAACACCTTCCTCTCTCCCAAAACACATTAAGGATGTCTAAAAGCCATGTTTGTGGTGACTAACATCTTTTAGAGGAATGGTTTAAATCACCTCAGAACCTCTGGTGACATTTTGATTGCACTGATGTTAGTTGCTAATGAAGAATCAACTTTGCACATAAAAAAATTATTGCAACTTTCTTTACTGCCCAGGAAGGAAAGTTTACTGAAGCCAGCTATAGAGTGCTTCTTCAAGTGTGATCACTGTATGCTCTTTATTCTTGCAATTTATGAGGATATTTTTAAGCAAAGGAGGATTATTTATTCTGCTGTGTGCCCATTTGCTCAGCCATTATGCTCTTCATGGCTCTGTGCAATAAACTTCATAACATGACACATTAATGGGGTTATTTAAACTATAATTGCTATGCTGTTTATGGTCAAATGCGCTGCGATTTCCCCAAGTTTACTTCCCACTCTGAAAATAATGACCAGTACGTGCTTTTGGAGGAGTCACACAGTAAGATAGAATGCCTGGAAAATACTTTCCTTATTAATGTCATTTGCTCTTTATTTGTATAGTGCAGTGGGAGCAACCCTATGGCAGGTGTGCCAGAGGGGGCACTCAGAGCCCTCTCTGTGGGCACACGCGCCGTTGCCCCTCCCAACTCCCCACAATCCTATGATTTGATGGCTAGCCCACCGGGCTGCTCTTCTAAAGCCCGCTTGTGCGGGAGGGAGCAAAATGCCGCCAGGCTTACTGGCAGTTCTGCACTGAGGCAAACTTTTGAGCTGAACTCTCTCCCATCGCCATGGGTGAGTGCCAGATCCTCCCTGCTAGGGGACACACAGTGGGGGGCAAAGGAGGCTGTTTTGTTTTTTTCATAGGATTGTGGGGGGTTGGAAGGGAACCCGAGGGTCATCTAAGTCCAGCCCCCCTGCGATGCAGGGATCACAACAACAGCATCCATGGCAGAAGGCCATTCAGCATCTGCTTTGAAATCTCCCAAAGAAGAGTTTCTTGAAGGGAAATTATCAAAACGGCCATGTTGCCATTCCCTTTTTCATGATTTCCCAAAGAAGGATAATGCAAACTTTTACCTTTCAATAAAAAGTTGTTTGTATCATTGAAAGCTCTGTTATTGTGTTTTTCTTTTAAGACAAAAGATGTTAATGTATGAGTCGTTTTTTCTAAACTAAAACCTCAGTATTCAGGTTAAATTGCTATGTTGGCATTTTGTGATAAATAAGTGGGTTTTGGGTTGCAGTTTGGGCACTCGGCCTCTAAAAGGTTCACCATCGCTGGTATAGTGCTTCCAAGGGGCAAAACCACCCATTAAAATGAATGTTGTTGTTGTTGTCTACTATCCCCACCCTATGTCTCTGCTGATAAGAACATATTAAGAGCTAATTCACACAGATTCCTATGACAGATGCTAAACCAAACTAGTCAAAAGTTTCCAGAGAGCTACAAATGGATGGCATTTCCCCATTTTCATATTCAGTAAAAAGATAAAAATAAAATGTTGGAAAGAGTGTGGTTAACAGGGCACAGATTTTGACCTGTGGTGGGAATGTCCAAAAGTTCAACAAATATGTTTGAGGGATCTGTAGATTTTTTAAAAAATTATTAAGGCAGTATTCAGGTCTATGAAATACTTGCTTTACTTTTGATATTTGAAGGAACAAATGAGGTTAATAAATCCAAAAAATCCACAAAAAAACTACTTATCTTCCTGATTCTTACAGCAAGGCTGTAACTCAATGCTGGAAGACACTTTCTGATTTCTGTACAGTGGTACCTCGGGTTACATATGCTTCAGGTTACATACACTTCAGGTTACAGACTCCGCTAACCCAGAAATAGCACCTCGGGTTAAGAACTTTGCTTCAGGATGAGAACAGAAATTGTGCTCCGGTGGCGCGGCAGCAACGGGAGGCCCCATTAGCTAAAGTGGTGCTTCAGGTTAAGAACAGACCTCCAGAATGAATTAAGTACTTAACCCAAGGTACCACTGTATTTCAAACTTATGGACTAATGCTTGGAACTGTGCTGTTCTGAAAAACTTATATGGCATGCCAGATTCCTAAAGGGAAAGGCAAAACCAGGCTCCTTTATGGCAGTCTGGTGGAAATTTTTAGACTTTGTTAAAAACTATCAGACTTTGTTAAAAACTACCACCTCTTTGTCCAGCAGCTATAGACATCTGGGACAAATAATTTGTTCTATTCTCACCTCAGCCAGAAGAAACACACCCCTAATCCTTCTCTACCTTTGACCCTCAACTTTTTACTTGTCAGCTAATCCATACTGATCTTTTATATCTTTTATATAATAGTATAGCAATGTTATCAACAACTGTTATTGCCTTATGCCGTATGTTTGTCTGTATTTACAAAACATTCATTTTGAAAAGGCTAATGAAATTCTCTGTGGGGTCCACACATGTCATTACCATTGAAGCCAACTTGAATAAAATATGGGGCGGGGGCGGGTAAGATCCACCCTGCATCATTGATCACATGACACAGTGCACACACACCATTGGAATGGCAATGCCCACCAGCTTTGGCAGGGCCTGGCCCCCTCAAATATTTTATGTGGGGGAGGCGAAGACCACTCAGCCCCTAGGAGTTGGCTCCTATGCACTGAGGTGATGTTACCTTGGCACTGTAGTCAGATACACTGAGGCATATCCAGTTTTCTTTTTTTCATTTTTGGCACTGCATTTCCCTTCCTTCAGTGACTCTTGGAAGGAAGAGGTAAGAGCATCCTTAGGAAATTAGTCACTAAAATATTTTATCTCTTGAACAGCAAGTAAATATGTTCAGTAGGTTTTTTCTCTTCCCACAGGGGCGAAATGTATTCCATGTGTGGGGCGTCAGAAAGAGCGGACCCAACACATGGACAGATGAACTTTCCACATACTTTCAGCACTAAACCTGGAAAGCATTGAACATATTCACTAAGCCTTAAGTACAGGATTATATAGGTAAAGGTAAAGGACCCTTGGACGGTTAAGTCCAGTCAAAGGAGACTCTGGGGTTGCGGCGCTCATCTCGCTTCAGGCTGAGGGAGCTGGCATTTGTCCACAGACAGTTTTCCGGATCATGTGGCCAACAGGACTAAACCACTTCTGGCGCAATGAGACACCGTGACGGAAACCAGAGTGCACAGAAATGCCGTTTACCTTCCTGACACAGCGGTATCTATTTATCTACTTGCATTGGTGTGCTTTTGAACTGCTAGGTTGGCAGGAGAAGGGACTGAGCAACATGATTATATATAAACATGCAAGGGCCACAATCTCTAAACTGCTCTTCATTTAAGCAGAGTACTTGCATGAGCAAAGTGGTGCTTGAAGTAAGGGGTTCATCCCTTTTATGTTGGCCCTCAGCTACTGTTTTTGGAATGTTGTGGTGTAGTGGTGGCTAGAACCAGGGGAGATCAAGGGGCTTAAGGATCATGCCCCCTCATTTCCCGTGTAATTGGGACTATGTGACAATTGCTGCCCTTCCGTGTAAAGAAAAACCACAAAATGTGCCTTCCCTTTTAATGGAAAAGGAGTTGTAATCTTGTGTACGTTAATGGCTCCCATCTTTTGCCATTCAAATAGCTGGATATGTTATGGAAATGGAGGATTAAAAATGATTTAAGGTGGGGGTGGCGATCAGTTCTTTTTGTGGAGGTGGGTGGGGGCAATTTAAACACATTTCTTTTAGTATTTAATAGAGCATACAAACAGTTACGCACGAAAGAGAAAATTGCAAGAATATACATCTTCAAAGTCACATTCTCACTATTCAAGCAGATCCATCAATTTTTCAAAGTACCTTCCATGCCTCCTGAGAGTGAAACTAGTGATGAGGAAACCTCCAGGTAGAATTCAGGGACGTAAATTACAAATACCAGCTTACGTGACAGATGATGCCTATTTATTTATAGAAGTGTTTTAAAGCATATGGCTGTAAGTGAAAAGTCAAACAGTAGAGCAGGCCAAGTTCAAGTGGAGAGAAAAATGGGGTGAGGAAACTCAAGTACCTTCAAGGGCGGTTTCTCTAAAAAGTCCAAGAGCTATTCCTCTACTTTTTCATGCTGCGGAGCCTCAGCGGTTTCTACAACTTCCTTTAAAAACATATATGGGATAAGAATGTTTGGTGCTTCAGAATGGCACTGTAAAGTTTAGAGCAGTGGTTCCCAATGGGAGGTCCGTGGACCCCAGGGGGTCTGTGTAACCATTCACATAACAAAAACTATCATAGATATATCAAAATTTTCAAAAGCTTGGCTTTTAAAAAGCAGGGGGTCTGCTGTACTTAGCTAATTGGGAACCACTGGTTTAGAGAAAAATCCCCTTAAAAACAACAACAACCAAGGCCAAAATATTCCATGAATTGTTGCATGGCATTTCCATGGGCACATAAACTCACTGGTTAACCAAACAACAGACAGCTCTACAATGAGACCCAGTGAGATTTCTCTTCCAGGTAGTTACATGCCAAGAAAGGACAGCAGACTGGGTGTCATTTGTTCTAGTGGGAGGTGTACCCCATGGGCCTGCAAGGAATGTTAGAGGAATCAATGTTAAAAGTTGTAAATAATATATTTTTATTCTTTCTCTATTCTCAACACCATAAGGTAGCCTTGCCTACTACTTTAGGGACAACACTTTTCTTTGAAGAGTTATGTTGCTAACTCCCCCCCCCGAAAAAAAAACCTTTAGTCCATCACCTAGTTTCTTTGCTTCTTTCTCCATAGCTTTATCTGCCAGGTGAGGATCTCCAACTGTGTTCTCATCCATAACTCCATGAGCTGGTAGTTGTCCTGATGCACCCTGATGCCCACAGACTAGCCGGGCACAGCTTGTCTCTCTTACACCTTTTAGCCCAACCTGGACTGTGTTTTCTGGGCCCTTCTCCATTTTCTGTTCCTGAGCCTAGTCTCCATCTCCATCTCCATCTCCACTCCCCCCAAGCTTTGATCACACTCTTCACACTTTCCTTTGCTCAGTAGCAAATGTGATGACTAGCAGGTGACCCCCATGAGCAGCAGCCACTGCAGGGGCGCAGCGAGCGAAGTCCACTTGTTGCCTCCTGCATGATTTCTGCAAGGAGGTTAGGGGCACAACCCTTGCCATGCCCCGGGCACTGGCAACACACGCTATGCCACTGCCTTTCTACACACACTCCCCTCCTCTCTGCATACTCTCCATACTGTTGTGCTTTTAGCCCCACTCCCAGTGTTATGATTTCGCCTATCTGGGCTTTCCTTCCTTTTGCCCTATCTCCCATCCCCCATTCTCCTTCTGCTTCCTCTTCCTCCCTCCTTAACTCTTGGTAAGAGTTGAAATGTCTCTGATTTGGGACTTGACCCCACATGCTGCAACCCACTGCCATGCTCCAGCATCCATTGATAGCTTCCTTGTCAGCTCATGGGCTCCATGCCCCTGATTGGGAGACATGGCTCTGAATCTACTCTGCACCATTTTATGTGTGTTTTTTGTATTTATTAAATAGCATTATTTTAGTAAAGTGTTAGAGCACCATAATACAAAAGTTAGCATTATAATAGTTGGTGTTATAGTGGTATAACTTACCTTCCTTATTTTAAAAAATAACATAGATGGAAAAGGTCTTAGCAATAAAGACTAAAAAATAAATAAATGGAGCTAATATAATAGTGTCCACCACAAGGGCTTTAGAAAATACTTGCTGAGTTTCAAATGACCCCTCCCAGGGCAGAATGTCATATCTACTGGTCTGGAAAAAGCACAGTGAGATTTATGACAAGAAGCAGCAAGACCCTGGATGGTCTGGAGAGCTACTTTTCCTTGTAGCTTGCAAGGGAAGAGGAGTGATTGAGTAGGTCTAGTACAAAGCTGTCCAGAAGTGCCATACTTTGGACTGGAAACTCAATGTTTCCGTGTTGCACATCTCCTAGCGGGTAATTGGTTTAATTTGTAAGTGAAAGCAAAATTTCCACTCTTGTTTGTCATCCGCAAACTATTTTTTTTGCTAATGGTCATTTAAAAGCCCCAGTTCACTGGACGCTTATTAACTATTTAGTAGCAGTCATTATTTAACAGGACTGTAAAGTTAGCATTACATGAATTATACACGGTTTATAAAGTGATTATTTAGTCAGTGGAAAATCAAGTCCTGACATATTTTTTTACTAAGTAGGAACTAGGACATTCATCAGTAGAACTGTTAAATTCTTAATCAGCGCAGTCTACTGTGGCTGATGTAGCAATCATTCAAAATTGCTGCTTCTCTCCTCCAGTCCATGTGTGTGTGTGTGTGTGTGTGTGTGTGTGTGTAGAGAGAGAGAGAAAGGGGGGGGGTAGTATTTGATCCCCTGCTAAATTTGCCCATTTGCCCTCTGACGAAGAAATGACCAGTCCATAATTTTAATGGTAGGTTTATTGTAGCTGTGAGAGACAGAATAACAACAGGAAAACCCCCAGAAACCCAGAAGACAAAAGTCTGAGATTGATGTGCATTATAATGAGTGAAATAAGTATTTGATCCCCTATCAACCAGCCAGATGTCAGGCTACCCGGTATCTTCACTGTATGTAAGGAGCTGAGATTAGAGGCACCTGCTGTAAGGGAGTGGTCTTACCTGTAATCCCGTTACAGTACCTGTGCAAAAGACACCTGTTGACAGAAGCAATCAATCCAGCAGATTCCAAAGTAGCCACCATGACCAAGACCAAAGAGCTGTCCAAGGATGTCAGGGACAAGATTGTAGACCTGGACTGGGCTACAAGACTATTGCCAAGCAGTTTGGTGAGAAGGTGACAACAGTTGGTGCAATAATTCGCAAATGGAAGAAAAACAAAATAACTGTCAGCCTCCCTCGGTCTGGGGCTCCATGCAAGATCTCACCTCGTGGAGTTGCAATGATCATGAGATCAGCCCAGAAGCAGCCCAGAACAACACAGGGAGAACTTGTCAATGATCTTAGGGCAGCTGCGACCATAGTCACCCTGAAAACAGTTGGTAACACTCTGCACCGTGAAGGACTGAGATCTTGCAGAGCCCGCAAGGTCCCCTTGCTCAAGACAGCACATGTACAGGCCCGTCTGCAGTTTGCCAATGCACATCTGAATGACTCAGAGGAGAACTGGGTGAAAATGTTGTGGTCAGATGAGACCAAAATCAAGGTCTATGGCACCAACTCAGCTTGCCGTGTTTGGAGGAGGAGGAATGCTGCCTATGACCCCAAGAACACCATCCCCACTGTCAAACATGGAGGGGGACATATTATGCTTTGGGGGTGTTTTTCTGATAAGAGGACAGGACACCTTCACTGCATCGAAGGGACGATGGGCGGGACCATGTATCGTCAAATCTTGGGTGAGCAGCTCCTTCCCTCAGCCAGGGCATTGAAAATGGGTCGAGGATGGATTCCAGCATGACAATGACCCAAAACACATGGCCAAGGCAACAAAGGAGTGGCTCAAGAAGAAACACATTAAGGTCCTGGAGTGGCCAAGCCAGTCTTTAGACCTTAATCCCATCGGAAATCTGTGGAGGGAGCTGATGGTTTGAGTAGCTACACATCAGCCTCAATATCTTACTGACTTGGAGAGGATCTGCAAAGAGGAGTGGGACAAAATACCTCCTGAGATGTGTGCAGACTTGGTGGCCACCTACAAGAAACGTCTGACCTCTGTAATTGCCAACAAGGGTTTTGCCAAGTACTATGTCATCTTTTGCAAAGGGATCAAATACTTATTTCACTCATTATAATGCACATCAATTTCTGACTTTTGTCTTCTGGGTTTCTGGGGGTTTTCCTGTTGTTATTCTGCCTCTCACAGCTACATTAAACCTACCGTTAAAATCATGGACTGGTCATTTCTTCGTCAGAGGCCAAACGGGCAAATTTAGCAGGGGATCAAATACTTTCCCCCCTCACTGTATATATAGGATACTGGTGCAGCATTGCTCAGCAATATTATTCCAACACGTACTTAAAGGCAAATGATATACCATCCAGTATTTTAATCAAAATGTCTGCCTAACTTTGGACAGGATAAAAAAAGGAACCCCACATTTCTTCCTCTGGATTGTTAAATAGTATGGGAACTCTTACGTTTTCCATTTTAAACTAGCAAAATGTCCTTTCTTTGCTGGTAGACAAGAATCCTTGGTCCAATCTACACTATACATTTAAAGCAAGATCATACCACTTTAAGCAGTGATTGGTTGCATCAAATAATCCTGGGAACTGTGGTTTGTTAATGGTGCTGAAAGTTGTTAGGAGAGCCTTGGCCCCTCACAGAACTACAATTCCCAAGTGGTTTAACAATCAGTCCCTCTTCCTAGGGAATGCTAGGAATTGTAGCTTTCTGTGAGGGTCTCCTTACAGCACTTTTAACCAACTACAGTTCCCAGGATTCCTTGGAGGAAGCCATGACTATTCAAAGTGCCATGATATTGCTTTAAATTTATAGCAGAGATGGGGCGTACGTCACATGTTATTCACGTGTAGGATGTAAGTGTGCAGAGGAAGGCTGTGCTTTTAGCCCTTCTCACAATGTGACGTGTTTTCAGAAACCGCATGCTGTCCTTGGTCGTGCAAGAAGAAAGCTCAGAGACTGCATACTTCTGCACACAAGTACAAGCTCTACACAATCAGGGCTTTGGAATGAAATGGACATTTCCCAATTCATTGTAGCTGCATTAACTCCCTGTCTCTTAACCCCTCTTCTGCATCTGCCTGTTTCCCCTGCAAAGGTGCCCCATGCCACCAATTCTTAGATAACGAGAAGGCAGGAAAAGAAGTACTGCAATAGTCTGGAGTATAACGAAACAATCATCTTACTTAGTTCTTAACTTCCTTTCTCAGTCAGTATTAATCTTCTGTGTTTCTCCTTTAGTTCCTGGAAGATACTTAGTCCAAAACTATCTGTATTTATATGCATACATCAAGATCCAATTTGATTAGTTGCACAACTGAAATAATGCAGAAGCAGCCTTTGAATTTGAACAGCCTGTGCTGTTTTAAACATTTACTGTGAACACTAGAGAGCACCACAGAGTAAGGCTGTACTTTCGGAGAAGCCGATTCTGTAGTTTTGGAATATGAAAAATATTTGCTTCACAGATTTCTTGGGTCCCCCCCCCCCCATTTCTAGCTTCACAGTTAGGAAGAGATGTTTATGAGAGAATTTCTACAGTGGTGTCACTCCTTTTGTCACTGCTGCGGATACACAACCTGTCTGTCTGTCCATCTGTCTCTAGGCACTGTGGTCACTGGCACAGGATTTCCACACTGTGGGGTTTAAGCTGCCAGCCTTCATGTGACATTTGCCAACATCTTTGTAACGCAGAATTTTTGGCATAATAGCAGTATATATAATATATATATTTTTAATAACAACAGCAGCAACAACAACTATATAGAGGGAAATATAAAATGGCTCCAAAAGGGACATCATATTTTAGAATCATAGAATTGTAGAGTTGGAAGGGACCACAAGGGTCATCTAATCCAACCCCCTGCAATCCAGGAATCTTTTGCTCAATGTGGGACTTGGATGCATGAGATGAAGAATCTCATGATCTACCAACTGAGCTATCCCAGTTTCCTTTAATTAGAGTGATGCGTCTTTGCACTATAACAGTTGCTCCCCTCATGAGGCTTCAACCAATCTTAATCTGGCTCAATTGCCGCATGTTCTAGCTGTGCAAGTCTCACTTGGTGTTACGGGAAGCCTGCAACTTAGGGAGGGGTTACTTCCAAAAATTGTGCCTAAAGCCAAAATTGTGTATAGACCAGTGGTGTCCAAACTTTTTTCAAAGAGGGCCAGATTTGATGAAGTGAAGAGCCATGGGGGCTGACCAAAGGTGTTGATCTTTTTTGGGGGGGATTGAGGTTGTTGAGCTTTTTTTAGGGTTGGAGTTGTTGA